TCACCGTCACCGTCACCGTCATCATCATCATCATCATCATCATCATCATCGTCATCGTCGTCGTCATCATCATCACTATCATCATCATCATAATCATCATCATCACCATCATCGCCATCATCCTCACCATCATCATCATCATCATCACCATCATCGTCATCATCACCATCCCGATCACCATCATCATCATTATCCATTATCATCATCAGCACCACTATCCTCATCACACTCGTCGTCGTCATCTCCTCTCCCTCATCACCATCACGGATACCTCCGTCATCAGTATCATAATCGTCAGGCTCACCATGATCTCCACATGAATGTTCACGTGGCTTGGACACAACCCAACTCCCCAAACCCTTACTTCCGTGACCAAGCCTCTCAAGCCCTCGATGCCTGATGAAGGCTTCTGACACCTCAAAACCCTCTCTGCCGCGCTCTGGTTTAACATCGCCAGGTCATAAGCCTCCTCTTCAGCTACACCAAGCAAATCGGGACCGAGGACTTGTTGGAGCCATACCAGCAAATCAAGGCGCCGTGTTGGCTGTCTGACTTGCTCTTCCTCTCGTTCGGTTGCTGTAACGTTTTCGGGGAAGGAGGGTATGTGGTTAAAGCTTTCTTTTTGTTGTCTATTGGGAATGGTCTGGCTGTCCGGGTTGTCCAGGTTCGGCGGCATTTCGGGATTTTTGGGACTTGGTGCTGGTTGGGTCGGCGGGTTGAGGATGTTGGGGTTGTGTTGAGTATTGGCCCCGCACCACTTCCACCGTAAGCACACGAACCACCCAAAACCCCCTAAACCCTAATGTAGGGTTTTGATTAATAAACCCCCCCCCCTCCCCCCCGAGTGGGAGTGAGAATTGGTAGCAGTAAGGTGCTAGTAGAGGTACTAGTACTAGTTAGTACTACTCTACTAGTGTCGTCGTCGTCGTCGCTGTCGTCGTCGTCGTCGTCGTCGTAGTAGTAGTAGTAGTGGTAATAGTAGCAATCAATAAGCGGGCTTGCGGGTGCCGG